ATTACTAATAATTTATAACTTTATATTCCTTTCTAATTTTCTCAAAATTATTAGTTATTATTTGCAACATTTAATTATTATTTTCTTTTCATTAATCAAATGGACATTTACCAGTCATTCATAAACTAGCTTCATCTTAAACATTTTCGTAACATGACTTTGATAAGACGGTTTTTCTGAACAATTTATGATATTCTGTGGTGTGCGCTACCTATATATACACATAAGTAGTATATAACAATCGTCAGGAATAGAATGTATTTCAGAGGAAAATCGAGAAGGAAAAAACGAAAACGGAAAACAATTGATATGAAGATCCAGAAATAATGAAATCTGAGACGATGGACTGATATTTGCAAAAGAAACAGTCAAGTTTGAGACAATGGATCGATATTTTGCAAATTAAAGATTTACTATGTGGCTCTCAGATTTTAATGAGATATTCTGTAATTTCATATTCAATTACATTTAGTTGTCCCCACTCATGTTCTTGTTCACTACAACTCCATACCACATCGTAAAATTATGCAATAACTTTATTGGATTACAGATTGTTAAATTCCATGTTCAAAACTTTTGGTGATTATTAATAACTTTTCTTTTAATGTAACAAACCTCATAATTTTACTACAGACTATTGTTTTTAAGAAGTAAATTCACTATAAATACCAGTGTACAGTTTTGGGTAAATGAATCTGTTAAAAAGAAAGTTTTCTTTATTGAATTGTCTTTAACTCTTTTACAAAGTAGGATTCATTATTAGTATACAAAATTTTATTATTTGCTTTGAACAACAAAATAAAAGCGAGAATTTTCATATTAATTCAATGTGACTATCAATACAGGTAGTCAGGTACATTCATTTAACGAGTTTCAAATAAAAAGAGACAGACATCCATCATTTCACCGCTAGCCAATAGCTAACTTTACTTCATAACGAGGGTGTTTGTGTATTGTTCTTCATGATTTGCTCAAATGAGTAAATTGATTGAATTTGAAATTAGAGCACAATTATCTTGTAAATACCACTTTTGCCTTCAAAAGAAAATCCTTTTATCTTTCAATCAATCATAGATAAGCTTATGTAACGTCGGTTATTTCAATTAGCAATAACGATGACTTGATATATTTACAATGTATCATGATACTCTTACTTTAATACATACATCCATACAAACGACATTGGAAAATGTTGGTGGATAAACCAATAAGATATAAGATAACAGGCCTCGGATATTGGCACGAAATTCACTTATTCAATTTGGTTAAATAGAGTTTTGGCATTATAGCTAATGTCAGTTCGTGATGAAAATCTGAAATTTAATTCTTAACGGTAATTAGCAACTGTAAAACATAATTCTAATTCCTCACACAGGTTTAGAACCATCATTTGGTCATAGATATTAGGTAGACACTATCAAGGTTAGTCTAGCTGAGCTCAAAAGTCGTCCATAAATTATAGTCTCACCTGTTGTTGCACTGATCAGTTTAGTTGTAGTAAGCATATAAAACTGTAAACTGTTTGCTTGTTTACATTAAAACATCAAGTTGACTTAATTCATTTAGATATTTGTGATAAAAAACTTTTCGTATAATTTCTCTAAACAACATCATACAAATGTTCTCTTTTTCTTTATTCTAAAAATAATATAAGCACTATTCAACTGATTTTAATGAGTCCATTATGAAATGCCTATTAAATTGATCTATTCAAGTTAAGATCTTTTGTCAATCATTTTATTATTCATGATTTAATTTGTTTTGTTCCGTTTTGTTTGCTTGTTTGTTTGGTTTCTTTAAATCTTAGAATATGGTTCTCTGTTTTTCATTTGATTCATTTGAACTGATAACTATAATATATAACATATGTATATCCATATGTTAAGAAATCTATTTTTATTCGCACTGTTAAGAATGAATGAAGCGGTTACTATTATTAAATAAAGGGCCTCTTGTATATGATAATTAATTAATGTGACAAAATCAATTTTACAAATATTTACTAAAATTCGCTTTAAAAACAAAGTTTTTTTTATTAGGTTATCACAATAATAGAACATACATGTTGAATATGGTCATATATATTATAATAACGAGTAATGAAAACAAAACCCCAGTAATTTCGTTTACTCAAATCCTAACCATAACTATGATTTATCTAATCTAAAAAAATATAAAAATTGTATGTTTACAAAATGAAAATTATTTTATGCAACTGAATAGCTTAAGAAAAAAATAAAACTTTATTTGTATAGGGTTGTGGAAATTATTAATATATTGATCGATATCTTGAACCGACTGAGCTTAGATCACCATGGAAAATCTGGAAGCATTGGACGGCCGTTTCGCCCTATTGTGGCACTCCTCAGTAGTGCGCAGCCACGATCCCACCCCGCTAGCGGCATCATGAATGCTCAATGCTGAGGAGTACCACAATAGGACGAAATGACCGTCCGGTGCTTCCAGGTTTTCCATGGTGATATAACATTAATCGGTTCAAGATATCGATCAAAACCTTTATTCCACACAGTGTCTGATATATCACTTAAAAATTTATTATAAGCTTAGTTTTGTATGATATTTCAAAGTAATGGGTTATGTGCAAAGATGGATAGTGGCTAGAAGTGGAATCCAGGACGGGCGTCTCGTCCTATTTGGGACTCATCAGGTGGATGTATCTGCATATCAGAGTTGGTATTCAATCTGGGACTCGAATCCAGTGCCGTTCGCTACAAACACCATCACATTATCCACTTGGTTACTGAGTCCTGATATCCACTTGCTTGTGTAATGAAGTGAAGTTTAAATTCACTTGGTATGGTTTTACTTGAATCTTCCCATTGATCATTAGAACTGTAATCGATCAGTTTGTTATTGGTATATGTGCATACTGTGTGTATTACCACGATAATGCCTTCATTCACAAGTATTATGAATAGGACGGAACACACATCCTGGATTCCACTGCTAGTCACTATCCCTCTTTGCTTATAATGCTTGTAAATGAAAGTAATATCGATGCAATACACACAGTATGCACATATGCCAATAAGAGACTGATCAATTGCAGTCCTAAACATTAATGTAAAGACTCAAGTTATCAATACCAAGTGAATTTAAACGATTATGAATTTGAAAATGCTATAATTGGAGTTAGCAAGCTAGTTTCTAAATGTTTTTATTAGCTTTCGATGACTGATGAGTAATAGTTAGACCAGTGAACACCGAAACATCATATTATTAATCCAGTGCTCAATTCGTCTGTTCTGATCAAATCTACCTTATAATGTTAAGTACAAACTAAACCATTTTGCATGAGTATATTACTAAAAAATGAGATAAATTATTTCTTACTATGATAGGTTTCTTAATTCATCTGAAAAATACTAATCGATTGATAAAAGTTTTATTTATTCATAGTAGCCAGATATTTGAATTAAACAAATGACCGGGTCTGTTGTGAGATAGTAACTCACTGATGACAATGGTGGATGTGTCGCTCGATTTCGTGGATTAGTTGAAGTTAGATATTGATACCGTTGGATGCCGCCAGCTCAGTGGTCTAATGATTAAGCACTCGCGCGCGAGACTGAAGGTCCTGAGTTTGAATCTCGCGAGGGGGGATCGTAAATGGACACTGCTTAGGGTCCCACAATAGGACGAAACGGCCATCCAGTGCTTCCAGGTTTTCCATGGTGGTTTAGCTTCAACTGACTCATGATCTCAACCACTGAAATGACTAAGTGTTGTTTTTTTCTACAAAATGAACACAACCTAATAGATATTCCAAATAAAATAATCTAACAATACCTTTGAATAATACAAAAGCTAAACCATTACCTTCTATTTTATTTCATTCAATGAAATCATTCTTGAAATTACCAAGTCAACTAGACACTAAAAATGAAATAAATTAAAATAATTATTTTTGTTTAAAATGAGTTATGAAAGTGAGTTTTCTTAAAATCAAACTTTTTTTATTTTTAATTATAAATTGTATGTTCATTTTAAATTTTGGATAACAATACAATAACTAGTCAACATAACTAACTTTTCATTAATCATACTGATGTGTGGGCGGGAATGATAATGATTGGTTGTCTGTTTAATTAGACATGTAGATAGTCTGACAAGTGTTAGATGAGATATGTATTCCCCCTATCCTTATTATTACTTATTATTGATTGTACATTGTTGTTGAATTGTGTCTTGTTTTTGATGTGGAAATATATTTACCTTCTAGTCACGTTGATCACGTGTTCTTGATCTGAGTTATGTTGATATCCCGTAGAATAAACACTGGGATGGAATCTAGTGTAGATATTCGTCTAAGGTAAATTTACGTCCCATACGTGTAAACGTGGAAAACCCAAGTTATAACACATACATTATATTTAGCCAAGATTATTTATATTCTACCCTATTGTTGAATATGATTAAATAAAGATTGGATATAATTAGCTATATTACCACAAGATTTATCTATTAGAAGAAAAACTAATTCATCTATTTACTTTAAGAATATATGTCAAAAGAATATATTGTAACTGAGTATTATTCATTTTAAGCTATTAAGTATATATCTATGCATCGTATTTAGCAGAGTAAAGCTATTAACAAATGAATTTTTGTTCATGTTTCTCGGTTAATATTAAATAAGATTTAGGAAATGAAGTATTAATTACTACGTAATCATGTAACGTTAAAGCAGCCTATAAAAGCTTTAAATATAATAAATCCTTACGAGTTTGGATCTTAAAAATACTATGGCAATGAATCACTATTATCTTTTCTGGAAACATCTAGATCTTTAAGGTTCTTAACTAACTTATCACTGATTGATTATCATTGAAAATTATAATCAGTTTTAAAATACTATTATAAACGTATAGTGAAAATCTAGTTAAGATATATAATTTACGCAGTTTATTTATCTATTTTCTAAATCTTCATATTTTTACAAAATAAAATCAATATTCAACATTTTAATTAACTTTTAGACGTTGCTAAAGATGCTGGATCTTTAACAGCAACAACAAATGACGATCTTGAAGCATCAATAATTGCAGCTGAAGAAAAACGTAGAGAAAGATTTGAGGGTTTAGAAGAGCAAAGAGAAAATATGAGACAGACAATCAGAGATAAAGTAAGTCTAGTTCAACGATTTTCCGGTGTTATTTACTTATTTACTCCTGTTACTCCCAATGAACCATAGGCTGCCGACCAGCATTCTGCAACCCACTCTGTCCTGAGCCTTCCTTTCCAGTTCTATCCAATTTTTGTTCATTTTTCTCATGTCCGTCTCCATTTCTCGGCGTAATGTATTCTTTGGACTTCTCCTCCATTGGCTTTGAGGACTCCGAGTAAGGGCTTGCCTTGTGACGCAGTTGAATGCTTTCATCAATGCGTGTCCGGTCCACTTCCAGAACTTGTTCCCGATTTCTTCCTCCGCAGGGCTCTGGTTTGTTCTCTCTCATAATAGGTTGTTGCTAATAGTGTAGTGTCTGGCCAACGGATCCTAAGTATTTTGCACAGACAAGTGTTTATAAACACTTGTATCTTCTGGATGATGGTTTTCGTAGTTCTCCATGTTTCCGGTCCATACAGCAGAACTATCTTGACATTTGTATTGAAAATTTCGACCTTGGTGTTGGTTGACAGTTGTTTTGAGTTCCAGATGTTCTTCAGTTGTAAATATGCTGCTCTTGCTTTGTCGCTAACCCCATGCTGAACCCTCCTCCTTTATTCGGGTTGGGGCCGGCAGTAGCTCCAGAAGGGCTCCAGGTGGAGGATTTTCCAGTGTATATATATATATATACATGTATAAGTACTTACTTACTTGCGCCTGTTACTCCCAGTGGAGCATAGGCCGCCGACCAGCATTCTTCAAATCACTCTGTCCTAAGCTTTCCTTTCTAGTTCCATCCAATGTGTAAGTACTGTACTGTACCACATAAAAACCTAAGTAAGAAATGAATTTTCAATTTATTTTATCTGTATGTGATAAAGTTGTGGACACTTAATTAAATCGAATCAATTTTCCGACTATATTGTTTACAACTGTCAATAAATCATAAATAACACCTTAATGATATCTTATGCAAGATAATTTTATTTGGAAGATTGGTAGATATGAAATTTTATGTTTAATTTCAGATCAGTACATATATAAAAATAATGCCTATTATTTCTACCAATATTATTGCTGTGTTCTCTGTGTTTTTAGTGTCTCAGTGATGAAATATATATATAGGGAGAGAAAGAGAGAGCCTATGTTAGATTATCTCACATTGTATAGCAATTTCGATAAAGGAATAAAACATATAATTTGTTTTATTGAGCATGATCTAATACAATACCTATTTCCTTGATAACATTAATCAAATTATTAATTTGCATTAATGCATTTAATGGACAAACATAGTTTATATTTCCGTAAAACATTGTGAAACGTTATCTGATGCTAATGTATTATAGTTAATTAACTAATACCAATTAAATTCTTATGAACAACTATATGTTTAGCCTTTTAGTGGTAGGTGAAAGTATATTTTATGTAACAATGTTGAATTGACCAACGTTATAATATCCGGTATCGTCCAAAAAAATCAAGTTAAAATTACCAATCGCTAAACGGATTCAATTAATAATTTAAATAAAGCAAGAACAAATATTGATGCAGAATAGTATGAATTCATAGTATTTCGGGGTTTCTCGTCAGCTGCTTACAACCAAATATGTGATAGAATTTTACAATGAGATAAAAAATAGTGTGAAACAATTGACATAAATGAATGTAAACAGTTGGAATGACAAAGGTTTTGCAGTAATAACTATATGTACACAAGAACAGGTCAGAGGTTAATTGGTTTTAGAACTAAGGAAACAATTCAGGATGGGTGGTGTAATAGTTCAGTGGAGTTCATAAGTTGTGTGATAATTTTAGAGGTAATGAAGGATTCGTGGAATTAAACAGTGATAAGATAGGTTACATAATAATTGAATAGAATTTGAAAAGTTAACATAATTTAAGAGGATCAGTGGGTGGAACATTAACAATAAAAATCAGAATAATAAAATTATTAGTCCTAGTTATTAAACTTTTGACTAATTTACATGTGATTAAATATAATGTTTAAATATTGTATAAAAGGTTAAGGTGTTCATGGGAAAGATATATATGTTCTGATTGCTTCTATAATTATGAGATTCATGCTTTGAAACCTTTTTTAGAAAAAGACTTTTATGAAATTTTATTCATAAAATTTGTTAAAGGCTATTCGTTTTAAATTATTTGATTAGTTTATTATTGAAAAAATTGTTTTTTAAATCATCTACATACATTTCATACTACTAACAGAATGAAATGGATATGTTATGGCTAGAAATATAATACCATTTTAAAACACAATTTTATGAACGAAGAATATTTTTTTCTCATCAGGTTCAACAATTATTATATCCAAATTAATAATCCATAAAATTGGCCAGATTTAAGGCAGAGTACATGATTTGGAAATTGTTATATGTGAATCAAGAATTGTTGTTTGTCATATAAAATCAAATCAGATCGTTAATGTTAGGGTTGACTAATATGAAGTGTTAACTTGAATCAGTTTATAAGTGAAATAAAATTGTGAGATAAATAATGAACAGAATAAATATGATCAACATGGGGTGAGAGAGAGAGAGAATAATGGAATAAAAATAAGAAATTACGTAGTATGTAGAATAATATGAATCAGGTCAGATATAGTGGATAGGGATGGATGCTGAATAAATTTCTCAAAAATAATAATAACAATGATAAAGATGATAATCACCGTAGTGAGGATAATAATAACAATATAAGTTTGGGACATAAAATGAACATTAATCAAATTACGTCACCATATTATAAAATTGATTATTAACTAGTTGGCCCCAAAGATGGCCATGGTAAAAGAAGTGGCTGAACATACTTCTTCTGGATGCAAAGCTCTGGCTTTTTGATCCGAATAGCAAAAGCTTCAGCCGTCTGTAGGTTTCGCAGTCTGATGGAATTAGGTAGACATCTTCCTCTGCTTATTCGATATAACTACCACGATATTTAATTAGTTTTTCTTTATGTTACAGGAATTTATTAATCACCAATTCTCATCATCATCATCATACTAAATCAGCATCATACAAAATTATTTTCTGCTTTAATATTTTCATTTGATTATCATTGAATTTTGCTCGGTTTTTTTCTACATTTGATTTATTCGTTACATAACTTTTTAAAATACATATATACATAAATTCCCTGTTTTATTGGCTATTTTTTTATTTATAAATTTCTCGGGATATCCATTTTCCTTCGGGGTTGTGTGTAACGCCTTTGTTTCATCTTCAATCCTATCCACAGAGCATATAGTCTTGATTCGATGATGCAGTGTCTTAATGAGGTTCCTTTTGTATTGCAGAGGAACAAAACTAAAAAAGTTTGTATATTGACCCGTCCAGGTAATTTTCCTGTTTATGTTCCTTTTTAGCGACCTGTCCTTCCTCCTTGTAAGTAGAACATCTAGAAAGGCTGTTCCACCCCCATTTTCCTTCTCCCATATGAATTTTATGGACGGGTTAACTGTATTCAAACGCTCGAGTGTTTCTAGGAAGTCCGTCTGGTTGTTACAAAGGATAAATGTATCATCCATATATCGGCAGTAAAATGAAAACTTATCGATCTTTTGTGCTAGTAGGCTGTTTTCTAGTTTAGAGAGGAAAATGTCTGCCAATATAGGACCTACGGGTGAACCCATCGCGACAACATCTATTTGTCTGCAGATTTCACCACTGATTTTGAAATGTAAATTCATAGTACATTTTAGTAAAAATTCTTTGATGATCACAGGGATTGTCGTTTCCAGTTCCTGTTCCCTAAATTTTTCACAAATATATTCTACAGTTTCTCTGAGTGGGACATTTGTGAACAATAATGTTACGTAATCATCGTTTGATCTTTCATGTTTATGCTTTTAATCTTGTCAACAAATTTAACAATTGAATTCACGAGTCGATCTAAGCTAGACAGCGATTGAAAACCTGGAAGTACTGAATGGCCATTTCATCCTAGTATGGAACACCTCATCAATATGTACTCATGATCCTACGAACAATACGTGAACCCAGGTCCTTCGTTTTTTTTTGCACGAACGCTTAACCTCTAGATCATTGAGCCAGCATTCAATGAGTGAGGGATCGTGGATGCACACTGATTAGGAGTCCCATACTAGGATGAAACGGCCGTCAAGTACTTCCAGGTTTTCAGTGATGTTCTAGATTAGATTGACTTGCGAATTCAACTGAAATATTTTATTACAAATTGCTGTTTTTTCGAGTAACTCATCTTTGTGTTAAGCCTTAAAAAAACTACGTAGAACAATAACTTGCCTAAAATTCTTAATTTGTTTTGGATAACATTTCATATTGTCTTGGATGATAGTTTTAATATGATGCCCACTTATTCTTATCGTGATACAATTAAGACTTTATTGTCAAAACACAGTTGAATTTACTTCATTACACTAATCTCTTAATAACCACATACAATCTAGACAAGTTATTATACATAATTATTATTTATTCAAACAACAGTATACTTTAAATATGAGAAATTAAAGTATAGACTTCACGTTTTTCGTGCAAAACAATATATAAAGCTATGGTTAGGATAGTGTGACATGCAGTGATTCCAGGTATTCCATGGTGCTCTAACTTCAATCGACTCATGAAATCAATTATTAAATTACTATAATATCCAAAAAAACCACTTCTGATACTAATCAACATATGCTCATTAGTGGCTGGCTTCACGATATATATCTTGGAGTTCTAATGAGAAGCAGTGACCAATGGAGTACAACTGAGTCTGTTGTGACATAGTAACTCACTGAAGACAATGGTGGATGTGTCGCTCAATTCTGTAGATTGGTTGAAGTTAGACATTAACACCATTAGATTCGGATTCAATTACCAAGAGGTTAAGCGTTCGCTCTCGAGCCCGAAGGTCCTGGGTACGAATCCCGTGAGTGGGATCGTGGATGTAGACTGCTGAGGAGACCCATACTGGGACGAAACGTTTATGAAGTACTTCCAGGTTGCTCATGGTGGTCTAGTTTTAAT